TTCACGAGCAAAATCTTGACAACCTGCTTACGGTTCATGCGTGCTACTGTGAAGGTGGTAAGTTGGAGTTGTAGGTGGGTATGTTAGGATATATATATATATAAATTTATTAGGCATTTCATGTCGCGGATCTTCAATTTATATTATAAAATATGTACTTTTTTCTGTAGTGATACGAGCGAGGTTCTTTACGGTTGACGCCGCTTCTCGCATCCCTGTCGCCACGTTTCTCTACTTAAGATCTCGCTCCTTCATCGCCTTTTCCATCTCATTTTCCCATGTTTTTCTTGGTCTCCCACGCTTCCTGTTTCTTCAAAGTAGCCATTTCAAAATTTTATCGCTCTCGACTTTCCGCCATCCTTTCGACATGACCATGCCATCTTAATCTTTTAGCATCAATTACATCCATTATCTCAATGTCAATACCCATTTGATTTTTTACGTCAACATAGGGTACTTTATAAGGCCACAACTCCGCCTATGCCTGTCGGAATCTATGCTGGGCTGTTCGATACACCTGCGATGGCGGGTGGGCCGAACAGCGCGGCGACGAGGGACTAGGCTGTCCGGGTTCGCAGAATCGCCATGGACGCGGACAGCCTAGTAAAGACTCCGGCCGCGGAAGCCTACGCTCTGACATTGCCGGTCCCAAGCCCGGAAAAGGAGGAGGGTCTCTAGTGTGGCAATGCTTCCACTTACTTGTGCCACACTTTTATATACTATCCTATTATATCACTCTAGATCTCTTGTGTTTTCGACTCCGACGCTATTAGGTTTCGACGGTGGGGAGTCCTTCATTTTCTAGTCTTCTCTTTCCGCTTACTTTATCTCCTTTCATCCCTACTCTTCTCTGTTATCCTTCTTTATTTCCCCTTCACACTTAGGGCAGGAGGGTCTCTTTAGCCGTGAGAAGGTAAACGTCCTAGGGCATGGAAAGCCCGAAGGAAAATTCACTGGTCCTCCAGGTTGGGGGATGAAGCATTGGGCTTGCTCCCATTCATGGCAAAAAGTCCTAGTAATTTGCCTCGGAATAAAAATAACAGACGACGACTTAAGCAAAGAAAATGCAAATGATGTTTGGAAACTATTTCTGTAGTTTAAGAGAAAAAAAATCACTATACCAGGGGTTTTGAAACTTGTTTCGTCCACGACTTCCTTGACCTAAAAAAAAAAAAAAAACTTCCCGCGGCTCCCCTGGTAACACTAACTTTAAAGTATAAGGCTTAACATAGGCCTACTAAAGATTCAACACAAATGAGGAAGTGATATAACGGGCTATTTTATTTGCCAATTTTATTTAGGTGTTAACCTTTATCTGCCTAACGTGCCGGTGTGGGAACGCTGTAAGAAACTGTAGATATTTCAAACTATCATTTCAAACTATAACATTAGAAAATTGCAGAAATTTAAACAGAACTTCATGTTGTTTTCCATATCATTCTAAAAGGTTGTCACCATGTTCATTTTAAAATTTTGGGAATATGTTTTGAAATTATAAAATTGCATAATTAAAGTTTTTTACAAAATAATTCTGGTAGATAAAAATAATACATAACACGTTTTATTCAACTTTTAATTTTATGACAAAATTTTTCTAAAAATTAATAGGAAGGATTTTTCTAAAAATTAATAGGAAGCCACAGAAGCATGTTGGTAAAGGACTTGCCAGGTTCAATTAATCCATAATTAATTAGTAAATTAAATCATGTGTATTACAAATGACATATTATGACAGTATAAAATTATTTTGTGGACATAAATTACAAGGATTTAAGTAAATCAAATCTAAAGATAATCTTTAATAATTTACCGCGACGCCTCTGGGAGCCGCGGCGCCCTGTTTGAAAACCCCTATACAGTAGTTGAGTAATTGTGAGTGTGAGTGAGACTATCCATCACTCACGGTTAGACCACTTCCCGTGCAATCGAAACGTGTGAGGTGTCATTGGACGCGGCTCATTCTCCTGGTGGGGAACTGCTAAAATGTTTTCGGATCCGGCCAGAAGTTTCTAAGAAATTTCTAAAAACTGTTTTGTGTGTTTTAGAGCTGCATCTTAGTGTGTATGCCAGAAATTAAACAGACACCACACAAATAGATCTATGTAGGTTACGTTGAATGCGACAAGTGAACGAACCGCCGCGCGGCAAATTTCATTTAATTTGCATCAGTAACATCTTTTTAAAAACACATTTGCGAAACCTGCGAGCAGTATTGCCTTGGAAATTATTTAACTTGAATAACTTCGGGCAAATAGGCAAAAACAAATTGAGTAATGCTACAAAATAAAAGCACTTTTAACTTATTACGTTCGACTTCTCAGAGTAACGTTCTTAAGTGCGCAAATACTGATTTTCAAACGAATGTGACACCTTACTCACATAACAATTCAAAACATTATCTCTTAAGGCCAACATATATATTCGCCTACAAAAGATTTGATAAACTGCAGAAGTAAAAGTTAATGCAATTTAGACTGAGTTTGTGGCGTTTTAATCTTTAAAAAAATTAGGAGCCAAAAATATGGAAGTGGAAAGCAAATCCGGGGAAGATTCAATTACAGTTGTAGATTTTGGGACAACATTTTTGGAATTAATTGTAAAAGTTCTTATTAGAGAAAAACGCAGAAGAACAGATTACGGGTGATACTTTGTGTATTTTTAAATTAGCAAAAACCGTAAAAAAAGAGAGCTGTACTAAATTCCAACTATTCGCATCATCCATACCTGCCACACCTTAGAATTGAACGTAATAGTCTGAAAGCATATTTTACTGTAATGTACCATATTGTTTGGAATTGCAAGGAACATACGTCTATTATGACTAAATAAATTATTTCCATTACATATTTCCTTGCGTTTTTAGTATTTCGAACGCCGAAAAATAGGTGCTTCTCACGAAACAACGTTTCGTGGGTCCGCGATGAGATAAAAATCATGTGTTTTCCAGCATTAATTGTAATCTATGAAAGCGACGTCGGCGAACGAAAAACTTTAGGTCGGTGTCCATGAAAAACTTATTTCTTTAATGGATCTTCAAAAGAAGAAATTTCGCAATGCTGCCAAACGTACGGATTCAAAAATGTCACCGAGTGACTAACATTTCTGTGATTCGGCAGCTCTAACATGAACATACAGTGTGCTAGAGACCAAAAATCGCGCGTTTACAAGTGTGTTAGTAAGTGAAACAAGAGCAGAAAACTTTGGATGAATGTGGGTTCAGTAATATTGTAGAATACGAATAGAAATGTTTGTTTATTTTACATTCAGAAACTAAGAATATTTAGTTTTTAATATTTAATTATTTTGTATTACTCTGTAAATGTGTTAAAATATGTGCATGTATTTTAATTATAATCACGTTACGTAATTTCTAAGTTGCGAAATGTGGATAATATCACAAACGTGTCAAAAACACTCAACACAGAATATAACGAAAACCTCCCGAGATCAGTGTTTGTGGCCCCTAACGATTCCGGCTTGGATTTTTTGTAGAGGGGGAGAATACTTTCTTGTGATAACCAATTTTGCAGTTGCTCTTAAGGATCTGTTATATCACAAATTGATTGGTCAACAAGTGGTAGGTGAGTAGAAGAAACGAAGGGAAAGGAAGCAAGAGAGGTCAGGAAAACAGGAAGAAAATAGCATAAATTTGTAAAGATAAGAATATACATACTATAATTGTAGGCATTCAATATCATTTGCAGCATACTGAGGATACCACCAGTAAAATCTAGGAGAATGTTGCCTATGCTCCAGCCAACAGTACTTTTGCGCCGATAATTCATGATTGCCTTTAAAAATGAAAAATTTGTTACGAATTGTAAGAAAACAAAAAATAAATGTTAAATCATGAGATACAACTGTATACAATGCTCACCTGAGGAATATATTTTATTAATGTAATAGACAGTTTGACGTATGAACAATAGTACAGGAAATCAAGCCATAGTATAACATTAATTCCGGCCAGTAGATAACTGATTTCCAGGAACACAAAGAATACACCAAGTATGATTTTGGCTACCAATGATACAGATTGATTTTCCCGCTGAAAAAGAGACAGTTAAATTATTTTTCCAAGTTTATAAATGTCGTAATTCTTTGCATTCCCCCTTAGCATGTTAGTATTACTTATGTTTTTAAACTAAAAGGAACAGACATATTTACTACAGAAGTAAGAATTCACATGTGGTATATTAAGGTTGAGTTTGGAACATATTGAAAAAGTTAACCATCTACTTATTTCAAAAGAATTACCATTATTCTACTAATTAGAAGGAAACTTACTAAAATACATTTTTCATACCTCATAAAAAATGCACTGCAAAATTGTTATGACTGTTGCAAAACAAGCATGAAGAGAAAATACGATGTCATTTATCTGCACTGGATTATGACCTCCAGGATAACGCTCGAAGTATTCATCCTGAAAATTGAAGATGTTCAAATGTTTATATTTTGTTTATGTTCAAATATTTATAGTATGTTTATGTCATATATTACAAGCAGAAAGAAAGTTTTAAAATAATGAAAAGAATACTCTATCGCAATGTAAGAAACACATAAAATAAAATTAGTTTCTGAGAGTAAACAGCGAAAAGCAAGCTGGGAAGGAACACGAGATAAAATATAATTTTGCACGTTAATTTTTTCGGCTATTGAAGTTCTGAATTTCTTCACTTTCTTACAACCAAATGTGCTCTCCTCTACTTCTAAAACTTTACAAGGTACACGTATTACAAGGTTACGTATTAAAAATATAGTTATTACTCATGTTCTGTACTAAGGAAAATTCAAGCAGTATATCAAATGTTTACGTTATAAATCTTAACAATAAATACAATTTATAACCAGCATAAATGAAAAATTGCTTGCAGAAAAACAAGTCAACTGAACATTATACCTGCAGCTCTTTTCCTTCCGAGAATAATCCTGGGTGCATCTCTTTCTTTCTCACATTACTGTTTCACAGTTTTTGAACATTCGGAGAGTTCAACGAAAATCGGAATTGCCACCGATTTTAAAAGAACTTTGCTTTATCCGAAAAAAGGTTAATCGAAAGGTTAGATAGAGATATTTCTGCGCCAAAAATGATAATGTGGTATCCACCACTTCCCACGACGTCGACACTAACGCACAATAATAATGGAAATAATGAAATATGTAATATTCAGGGTGGCAAAATTAAGTGATCACACCCCTTGTATCTCCTCAACAGTACAAGATACGAAGATACCGTTTGGACAGTCAATTGCATTACGAACAGCGACTTCTCGAGTACACCACTATTTGTCTTTGTACTATATTTTAGTACAAACATATAAGGCCAACTTTCTTTTTTATATGGAACCCTATGCTAACTTTTAGCGTATCGTAATGGTCTTAAAAGATTTCATATCTGTGAATATCTTCGTATTGAAGCAAATCAATTTTTAGAAATTGATGTGTTTTTGTGACTGATGTAACACTTTTCCATTCGACCTTGCCTGTTTTTCGCTAAGAAACAAGAGGAAAATATCTCTTGAATGGTTTTGTCTGCTCTCCGAAAACGCTCAAAGGCCACGTATTACGAGTAGATAACAGGGCGGACGCCAGGAGTATAAAATGCACCGCTGGGGTAATGATAGCAGTTTCTACCAGTTTCTTACAGCAGACGTGTACACCAACGCAGAGAAGTTAGATGTGCTACTATTGTATGGTGATGCGGTAGAAATGCCGTTAGAGCAGTACGATATGAAGAGCTGTATCCTGATCGTCAGATAACTACACGCCAGCTTCTTGCATGTATGTGTTCAAAACAATGGGAATCAAACACGACGAAGCACATGAGGTTATACTGTCATTAACGCATAGCAATCCACATACTAGTTCGCGAGGTGTGGCCCAGGAATATGGTGCTTGCTATATCAAGTGCCACCCTCTCATCTTGTCCCTCGAACGGCGACTGCAAATGTGCATTGCAGCAGATGGGCAACACTTTGACCAAATGCTTAAGTGAAGCAATGTTCTGTAACTTTGTATATCGTATAATATTTGTATGTGTTATGTTTAATGTATTTTCTTTGTATGTGACTGATAGTTACGAATAAATTATGATTAATAAGATATTGTTCATTTATTTTTGTATTATTTACTTAAAAAATATAAAAGAATAGTCACAGTTGTCAAAATAATTAAAAAGTATTTGTGTGATAAAATAAGAACTTTCCCGTATCCTGTGTGCAGCATTTGAGTCTTCCTTGGACAAAGTCATCTTTCAGCAAAATTGGTACAGAAGAAAGTAGTTCTTACTGTGCTCAAGTAAAGAAGTGAGTTTGTCTGAAGAACGGTCTCGCAAAGTTTCCCAGTTTACTCAGCAGGAAAGATCGCCACTTCAGTGGAAAAAATACGTTACAAAATCACGTCAATTTCTAAAAAAACGTTTCGCTTAAATAGAAAGATATACACATATTTGAAATAGTATTTTTAAGCCTATTACGATACGCTAAAATTTGGCATATGATGCCATTAAAAACAAACAAAGTTGAGCTTATATTTTCGTAGTAAAAAATATATTCTAAGACGAAGTATGTTGTATTCAAGTATCCCCTGTTAATGCAATCGACTGTACAAAGGGAATTTTTGTATCTTGCACAATCGATGATATACAAGGGCTGTTATCAGGTGTTCCATCTCGGATTTTGTAAGAATATATTATGGTAGGAGTTTTATTGTTAATTCTAGCTAATGTGAATTTAAAATGCGTCTGGGATAAATCAACGTATTTTGAGGAGATTTGGAGCGAGGTTGTGTGTTTCTTAAGGCTACAACGATTGTCACAAAGATTTGTTAATTACACAGGCATGCTCGCGCGCACACAGTGAAAAAGAAAATAGTTTTCAGACCCAAAGACTTGAAACGTGTATCTCTGTGTAGCATATCGACGCGCTGAATCCGAAAGTCAGAATTGAGCCACAACTTTCCAGTTATATAAATCGTGAAAAACCACCGTGAATTTGTATATTTGTATTTGTTGAGAAACATTTGTCGAGTCTAAGTCTGACAACAACCCCCAAACAAGAAATACACTTTCACGGTGTTTTTTCGCGAATAAAAAAAATCTGGAGGATGGTGGGGCAATTCTGGCTTTAGATTCGGATTCAGAGGGAAGAAATACATAGAGCAGGCCTGCACAACGCCTGCTCCCGTGGGCATTTTGCACTTACGAGCCGAACGTCCGCCGGCGAGAGCGCCGAAGGTGCAAGTAGAGGCGGATAGGAAGCTTTGTGGGCAGGGGAGAAGCCACAGCGGGATCCACGCGGCGCGTATATTGTCTAATGCAATGCCCCATGTTGTGAAATGATTTGCCCACTTATTTAAATAGGCAATCTCCCATATTTCTAGCTACAAATGACATATTTCAATGATTCGTTAATGTCCAACATTCACTTCAGTATAACAGCATGGGTAGGGCCATTGTTTTGTAGTTTCATAATAGTTTCTTTTCTGACTTAATGTTTCAAAGCCCGTGCTATTGTGCCGTAGAAGTGTTTATATATGTTTAATTTTATTTGTAAATTATATTTATGTTATTTTATAGCCAAGGTAATTAAATGCATTTACTTGTTCTATTTTATTTTTTCCCAAGTGCTATTTTTGTTCTTACTGACTCGCAACCCGTAAATGTCATTTTAGTTTTGTCTATTGATATAATCATGTTATATTGCTTAGCTATATTATCTAATTTATATATTGCTTCTTGGATTCTGTCTTCTGTTGGATCTACAATTACTTGATCATATGCATACAGTATTGTGGAAATATTTACATTATTTACAATATATTACCTGTTTAAAATTTTACCCACTCATTTACGACTTCGTCAATATATGTGTTAAATTAGGTAGGTGACAATGGGCACCGTTGTCTTACACCTTGGTTAATGATTGCCCTAAAAGAGCGCCCTAACCGTTTTTAAGACCAAATCGGTCTGGTACAAGATCGAGTAGTTCGTTCGCCGTAAGGGAGGTTGGGAATGTGCGATGAGCACGACGTACTACTTGGGGCCTTAAAATCAGGAAGGTTAACTAAGAAGTTGTAGTCGCCCGCGCACCTTTGAAGGAGCTGCCAAGAGGGTTCAAACGCCGCTCAAGAGAGGGCGACAGAAGCAGCCGCCTCGGCGCCGTCCCGGTCGGCTAAACACGCAAAGCGCGCCACTGCCCGTACCCCAGGGCTAGCCAGCGGACCTTTAGCCCCAGAGAGCAGAGGGCCAGTCAGTGCCTCCCGGCAGTAAAGTGTGCTTAAGTATTATTGTGATCAGTGACTACGAAGCGGCTAAGTGTAATGGACTCTCTTCTGGACTGTGAAGTCTCTAGTACTGCAGTGAATATTGGACATCGTGATTAACAGCGATTTTGGCTTTTCCCAGTACATCTTTTGGAACATTGTTGAACTCGCTTGTTAATGTTTACGCTGTACTTGTGGAGACTGTAATAAATCTGTTTTTACGTAAAAAATAAAGTACGTTTTTTACATAAACTGGCGACGAGGAGAAACAAAAGGGAGGCCGGCGAACAGATGGCGCAAATGATGGTGCTCATGCACCAGCAACAGCAGCGGAGGAATGGATGGAGTATGTGGAAAGGTTTGAGCAACATCTACTATGCCACCAGGTAGGAGACGCAATAACTAAGAAAGTGTTTTTCCTTAGCGGTGTGGGGAGTAAAGTGACCAGCCTACCAGGAAAATTGTTTCCCGAAAAAGACTTGGCAGATATCAGTTGGGAAGAAATGAAATTACAATTAGGGAAGGACAATTACTAAAAGGACAATTAGGCAGTTATTTTAACAAGTGCCGCACATAGTCTCAGCCAGATACAAGTTTTTCCAGTGCAAAAAAAGTGAGGAGCAAACACACAGCGAGTGGATTATGGAACTAGCAGGTTTGGCGCGACATTGCCAATTTAAGTCCCCGCCATCAGAAAGTGAAACGTCTTACGCAAAAACCTTGATCCGAGATGTGGTAGTTCTACACACACCAGAAGAGATAAGATTTTTGACATTGCAAAGTGGTGACCCCATAATAGATGAAGTTAGAAATATGTGCAAAACATACGAAATGACGCGTGAAACCGCTCGCCAGATCACGGCTGGAGAGCACGTATGTCAAAGAACAGAGGGGCCGCACAGGAAAGGGATACGGTAGAAGAAAGTAGTGCAGGCAGTGACACTAGTGAAGCGTAGTAAACAGCCAGGAGTAAGACTAACAAGTCGGGAAAGTTACAACGGTGATAGTCTAGGAGTGAAAAGATAAGTAAAAAAAAAAATTATGCAGGAACTGTGAGAAAAGCCATGCGAGGGATTCGTGCAGATTCAGGGAAACCCAGTGTTTTCGGTGCAATAAAAGTGAGGCATATTCAAGAAGTGTGGTGAAAGACGGAGCGAGGCAGAAAACGAGTAGAAGAAATGGAAATAGACGTAATCAGCGAAGTGCTTAACGGAAATGCTCAAATCAAATTGATGGTGAAAGAGCTAAGGAAGCAGCACGTAGATACATACCACTCAATAGGGGCACCCAGGTACTCAAGTGTACACAAATGACAAGCTTCGATAAAACCCCCATCAAGATGTTAGGCAAAGTGAATTTGCGCGCGATCTACAAGAAGAAACCTAGGAATAATAGAGGTGTTCGAAGTGGATCGTTATGATGTTACGAACATTCTGGGTTCGGATTCTTTTAGTAAACTAGGTTCGGGATGGTGGACGAGGTAAACTAGATCTCAGAACAGGAAGAGAGACAAATCATCAGGGAGTTGGAACACGAGTTTGTAGAGGTATTCTCACCCGGACTGGGGGAGTGCAAACATTTCCAAGCTAGTATTCGGTTGAAAATACAAACCCCGATTCTCTAAGGCGAGACCAATCCCGTGGGCACTTAAAGAAAAAGAAAAGAGGAGCTGACGAGACTGCAGGAGGACGGCGTGATAACACCGGTGGCAACAAGCCACCGGCGCACAAAAAAGCAAATGGAACAATCAGATTGTGCGGAGATTTTAAGAGCACGGTCAACCAACAAGTATAGGTAGAGCAATACCCGATACTCAAACCGGAAGACCTATTTAAGCTGACGGGAGGACAGCGGTTCTATAAGATCAACTTGAAGGACGCCTACCTGCAGTTACCTTTGGACCCAAAGGCGAGAGAGGTTTTGGTAATCAACACACCGTTAGGGCTGTTGCAGGTATAATAGGTTGCCGTTTGGCATTAACTCCACAGCAGCAATATCCCAGCGCTGCCTCGAACAGATCACGGTAAGTTTGGTTGGATGTTGCAACTACCTGGATGATATCATTGTGACTGGTATCAGTGAGAAAGAACATAAGCAGAACTCGACGAGGTTGTTTATTGTGTTGCAAGAGAACGGGCTCAAAGTGAATAAAGACAAATGCGAGTTCTTCAAAGAACTTGGGGGCAGTTTTCTCACAGAAGGACGACAAAGGGATAGCATCGCATTCGCCTCCAAAGCACTAAACAAAGGAGAAAGGGCAATGGTCGATGTCCACTTCCGGGGCCGAAGCCGATAATACGCGAGGAGCATGATTACTACATCACATTAGAGGCCCCTAATTACAAAGGGGCTGATATACTGGAAACTTTCTGAAAATAAAAGCCGAGAGTCAAATTATGGTGTACCAATTTGAAGGAGAACAAATTTGATTTTTTGAACGATTTGGCTATTATGAAGAAAATTTAGAGGAAGGGAAAATTATAAACCAACTAGTGGTGCTACAGAATGGCACCGAGCTTTCAGTATTGGTTATCTATTTCCTTTGGTTTCGGCTAGCTATATGAACTTGCCACATACTCTTGACAACTGCTATCCATCGCCACTCAAAAAACGTTTTTTAAAAAAAAGTATTCTCAATTTTTCCGATTACTAATAAAAGATTGGAAATATTTTTTGAATATTAAAGAACAGTAAAATCTCGTCCTCAATTGCAATTCTCTTTGAATACATTTGCAGCCATTGTTAAGAAAACGGCGCTTAAGCGCTACTGTAAATTCGAAATTTGAAGCTCTTTTTCACAGAAAATTTGAATTTTTTGAAAACTTCATTTGAATTACTTAAACTCACAAGTACAACAGTTTTTACAAATTGCTGGAAGTGTGCATATTAACGGCGTGAGAGATCTTTCAAAAAATTTACATTTGTGTAATTTTTGAGAAAAACAAAAAAAAATACACCGACATTAACTTTACGCCATATAAAGAGTTCAATTACAACTATCCGTTCGAAAAATTTGAAGAAAACATTTTAATCCGTTTTTGTGTAATGGCGTTTGAGCGTTTCTGAAAATGCGGGATTTTGAGCTAGTTTTCACAGGAAACTTTTTTTTAATTTTTGAAAAACAAACGAAAAAAGCAATATGAAGCTTATGTCAACTTATAAGATTACACTAGCACATCTTATAAGATGACATTTAGCACTATCCGTACCAAAATTTCAAAGAAAATAATAGAGGATCTTGTTATTTTCATTTTTTTAAATTGCACGTATGGAGAAGAAATTTTATGGGAACAAAAAACCTCTATCTTCAATTTTGTAGTTTTAAGACTTCCGAAAAATTTTGAAATTTAAAAAAATTCAGAATAAAACTTGAAAATAGGACCTATGCCACCTTCATAAGTTAATTTTGCTCTATTCTTAGAAGAAATTCACAGAACAAAAACTTGTTTATTTTTATAACAGCTTCAAATTACTTATTTATGTTTTACTTAGTAACGCCAAAAAACCGTTACAAAACTGTGTGCAACATACTGTAGGCGAGAATTGCAGTCTCTGCTAGTTTTCTTGAGCTCTGGAATCCCAACCTTAGTTCTTACACTATATTTAATTGAATTATGTAAACTATGAGCAACGAGCTACTTATATCAACAAGAATTAATAAGAAAATATTCATTCCCGTGTAATAAAAACTATCTGTAAAGGCTAATGAACTACAGATTTTTGGTTATTATCCCTTATCGACTCCTAGGTGAAGGAATCGATTTATTACTGCGAAGACATGGACAGTTATTGGAATAACTATATTTCACAATGAGCTGAAGAACATGTGCTCTAATAGTGAAGCTACATTTATGTTCAGAAGCAAAACAAGGGGGCCATCTCAGCATTTGATCAATGGATCAAGGGAAACTGGAAAAAACAAATCGAGATGGGGATCACTGATCCAGAAGTTCTGGTACAATACTTATAATAGAGATATTTACCTCACATCGTTCATTTTCTTCTAGAATTGTACAGTAAAATGTTAACTAAAACAATTATTATTAACACAAATTATTCTACTTTTATAGTCTCGAATGGTATTGAAAAAGTTATGCGACAGAATATTTTACTTGGCACTCTTGAAAATCAATTATACTGGCTCCATATTATAGCATATAATAGGTGGGAATGGGCATTCACGAAATATACACTAGCAGTAAGAAGGCTGAAAGAATTTGAAAGAATTCTGAACTCGTAGAATAATAAACTTCATTTTGTGCTCAATTCACTTAAATACACGTTCCATTTGATGTCTGAATTGAGAGACCCCCCATATATTTTGTTGCGTTAACATTAGTCTTGGTACACAAAGAAATATTAGCTTTGATCTGTCGAAGAGTATTAGATGAGCAAATAAAATCTGGAACATATTTAGGGGAAAATTATAAAGAAAGAACTAGATAAAATACAATAGGATTTTTTTAAAAGAGAATAATATGCGTGGATTACTAAAATAATTTTCGCCTTTAACCTGTGAGCACAGTTAATGATTTCACACATATCCCCGGGATATCCAAGATTTAATTTCCATGCATATCATTTTATAATTAAAAATAAATATTAGTATAAATGCGACTGCTATAAAAATTTCAGACTTACTTCAATCTTTGTTATCCAATACAGGCCACAATTAAAGAGAGAATATAATATAAATCCAACTATATTCAACGCCAGGAAGTCGAAATTGAGACCAACAACACTGAAATTACAAAGATACATTACACATTAAATGTATTGAAAATACATTAACAACTTCTAATAGTAAAATCAACATATTGTTCTGAAAGATATGATTATGAAAATATTGCACGATTACAATGGAGCACATTACAGTAGCATGAGCAATTGCGAGTATTACTATACTGAAATATTAAGACAACTTCATAGCTTTCAAAGAAATATTTTATATCAAGTTTTCAAGTTAAGATTATCCAATCTCAAAATTATTAGGATATTTCGTTATCTCAACATATACACACATGTTTACATCGCTAATAACGTAAGGTTCCCATACATCGCCCTTCTAATCAATTTCTTCCCGTACGCAAAAAATGTAAAATTTAAAGGATAACGCAGTGACGTGTTGTAATGCTGTAAAGCATCCTGTAGAGAATCTGGGATAAATTCACCCTTTGAGGTAATTGATACCGAACATGTGTTTGGAAAAACAAACTTATTTCTGTCTGTGAACAAAATTAATTCCTAAACCTTACATAGGCTTTTGGGGCCGTCCACAAATTACATAACACAAATCTGGAGTATTTTGAATACCCCCTCTTGTCTCTGTAACGCACCTGTAAAACACGCTTGAACCCCTTTTAAATAACAACGTAACGCTTCCGACACGCCCCCCTCCCACGTATAGTAAACCTCCATTATAAAGCAGAAACGAGCTGTATTAAATGTATTTATTATAATTGACGAGAGAATTAGTTGGTGGACCGGACTGTGCATAACAATAACTTTGGGGACAACTTTTTAATGAAGGAAGGACGCGCAGGCCAGAAAATTTCAGACAAACAGTGCACATGCCTTCGTGGATGACACATAGGCTCCGAGTCTACCGAGCCAACAAATTGGATTCTAAAATATACTGTAGATCAGTTTTGAATATTTTCTTCGTAATCTAAAAGATTCAATCAATATATCATTGATGAAAAATATTTTCATATATTGTAACAATTTATAGACTAGAGCTTCTTTAATTTATTACATTTTTTTAATTTAATTTGCTAATATGAAAATGTTTTCGTATAAGACTGACTAACAGGAATTATATCAGCAAATGTTGAAAGAGTTTAAATATAAATATCAGCATCATGTAACACTAAGCTATGACCCCCCTACCCTTATGTAATGCAGAGTAACGCTGCCTCAAACCCCCTCCCCCTCTTCAGCGTTACGTAATTTGTGGACGACACCTTTCTTCAAAATGGATACTCCCGATATACTTGCTTGAACTCGAGACCCTGTGAATTTGAAAAATATTTTTAAATTTTTGGGGGTTCCTACGAAATATTCAAAATACTAAAAAATATACAATTTTCCCTAAACGTATTTTTTCTGAAATACAGTTAAGTGCAATACAGTTAAGTATGTACGAAAATATAAAATTAATTTTCCTTAAAACTTCTGAATAAGCAATGATTTGTAAAAATTCAATTTTTTCGAACCTGTTCTGCAATCATTATTGAAACGAGATATTTTTTCTCAATCTCTCTCTTTTCCCGAATATTACAACTTTACATCATTTCCAGCTTTCTTCAAATAACGATTAGTTTTCACTTTTGAGTTAAATCGCAATATTTTTCCAAAATTACAAAATCCAAATTTAACATTTTGGTCAAATCTTTTGAGGTTTCAAAAATTAAAAGTAAAATATTTGGGACTTGTTTGATTTTTTGGTTCAATTCAGAACAAATAAGTGCATTTTTTTTAAAAAAGTGTTGCGTCATTTCCCAACACGACTCTTATTCTTTCTTGGGCAATGAATGTATCCGGAGTAATCCTCCATTGAGTGTTTTATTTTTCGTCTCATGTCACAGTCAGTGCCTTTTGTCCCTTCGGCCAGAGGTACGGCGGCGCTAGTGACTGAATATTCCAGACGGTCACCCGTCCAGGAATCCGTGAGGCCTCGGGTTGCTTCAAGACCGTGAGTTCACGGACCGTAGTTAAATAAATCTGCTAATGACGCAGCGTGGCTGTGATTTCATAAGAGGTATTTCTAAACTTCGAAAATTTGAGTGTGAATGACCTTCTTTACATTAAGTCTTTTCAAGTAGTTTCGCTAGTCAAGGTTATTGGATTGTAGTCTACAATTCGTAATGGCGGCGGTTCAAACAGGGGCCGACAATCTTTTCTTTTATTATGTTTTAAAGATAGAACACAATACACTGAATTCGATGGCAGGAGTTCCATTTCTCTCAATTTTGAATTTTCACACGAATTTTCACGAACCTCCCGCGCTTTGTTTTAATGAAGAGAGATACTCGAGAGATAGACGAGATATTAGGAAGGTACAAATAACTTGGCTAGAAATGCGTTGCTGTGGTTTCTATCGTCATCTGTACCACTGTGAATAGAGTGCCAAAACGAAAACTTAAGTATTATTACGTTGTACGGATGGATTGAGAGTTCACCAAAGATATTTAATTGCAAAGGCGAAAGTCATTTACTAAAATCATGATAATGAATTAAGTAACGTGAAATTGTGGGATTCCTGTGCGAGGATTCTGGAGTGAAAGTTCCTTGGTAAGTGAGTATTTACTGTTTAATAGAGCGCGTCAACGCGGTCGTGAATGTGGCTGCTTTCCTCCACTGAAACGTGAGAGGCTAGCAACGCTTTTCCCCTCCAGGTATCAACCCAATGGAATACTGTCCTTGGTGGGTAAGATCCAGACTTGAGTACACGTGTGTGTGTGTGTGTGTGTGTGTAAGGGGAAAGGAAGAGGAAGAGAAGATCGCGCACATACATGGCTCGGTATTCTGACAAACTACATTATTGATCGGAGAAGCCACGGAAAATTACTGATCAGATTAGCTGGCAGCTAGAATTATTTTCCAAACGGTGGGAGAATTCGACCAATCTAACAGCGTAAACCATTTAGGTTTTGTGAGAGGAAACCCTCTAGGTCTGTAGACCGTAGATATTCTCTCCCGCTTCCGCCGTTCTTCTAGAAAAACTTGCAAGGGTATTCGTACGTACTCCCTAGAGGATACGTCGCTCCGCTTGTAGCCTGTGGTGGGCTGCTAGAAAGTCTACTTAAACAGGTTGTAAAGACGCATATGCAAATGTGTGTTCTTTACGAGTGTTATTTGCAGAAATTCCTATAGGAATAGCCATTTATTACGAACAATTGACTTTTCGATTGTGTGTTTTCTCTGTCCTGAAACAGATTTCGATATTGTTTGAAAATGATAGAATGTAAAAGGTAGTACGTATTGTTACCTTCTGATTATGTATAGTGTTTACCTGATTTATATTATCAAGTAAAACGTGGGAATATGTGGCATACTGAAACATTTCGTCTTTAAGACTTCGAAAATTCTCGAAAGTTTCTTTTGCTTGAAAACCCTTCACCTTTACACCCACTAATGAACAAATTTCTTAAAATTAACTAACCCTACACACAAAGTACAATAAAATATTTTGACATCTCTATTAACACGACGATTTAATTTCTGATTTTATTTTCTGCAATATCTGTGTTGTAATACTGTGCTTTATTAAAAAAAAACATTTTCTATTTTTTTCTCTTCTTTCACTGTTTACTGTAACGAGACTTTCAGAATGAAATAAAAAGCAAAAGCACTTTCATACAATCATTTGTGGGAAACAATTCGAAACGGTTTTTGAAAAGTGTTGCTTGAACATGTCTGAAGATGCCCCCATTTCAGCTCATTTACTGAACTTCGTAAGAGATCATCTGAAGCTCGAGTAAAAAATACATAAAATATAAAATACACATTTATTGTGCATATTCACGACGTGCAAGATGTTCCAAAGTATTTCGTAAGCAACTTCTGAAAAATCAAAAGTTTTAAAGAAAATAGCGTTTGTCACATGATTTATTACATTAGTCTCCATGGATACTGGAGGTTCAAAGAAAGACATTGGCGGTTTATTCAGGAATATTTGGATAATCGTCATAATTTGAGTAAAAAATTCCCCAAAAACTATTCGTATTTTGAAAGAAAAAAAAACTTGACTGTCGTGACGTCTTAGCCTGAAATGGCTACGAAAGATCCTTTGCACAGTCATGGGAGACTTTGCTTTTAAATTAGGTTTTCACACTCAAAGAGCGGTGCTCCAGAGCACACTTTTAGCCATAACTGCAAATGGCTATCCTTCCTCACTTTATTCCACATACTTATTTTGCGCATGCGCGAACAGTGACTCTGTACCACGTGACTCAAAGCAGGCTAGTCTTTCTGCGCAACCCTATATATTTTTATCATACTTCGGAAATATCCCAAAGAAAAAGAAGAGCGCTTTCGCGTTCCGCATTTATAGTTTGGTAACAACGGGTTATACGAATAAAAATGAGCACTTGCTCATGAGTACTTTCTCCGGAGCAAAGCGAGTCTACTCCGCGGCACTGAGCAGAAGCTCCATTTCGTATGAATAAAAACTTCGTATGTCTCCGAAGAACTTGCTCATGTCTCGCGAGCATTTGCTCGTCGTGAACAAGTGATAGTGCAGGCTAGAGTTTTAAAAATTGGGTTCTTAAGCAACAAAGAGGTTACATACGTTATGCACGTCGCGCACATTTGTGCGGAATAAAGAGCAATAGTTTGTTGTCTCATTCTTTAAATTAGAGTATGAATAGCAGTAACCAAAACAAGCGCTAGTGGCCCGGCTAATTTTTACCGAAATGCTAAGTGAATATAAAATTATTTTTGAAAAGAGACAGCTTTCGGAAGTACGCTGTGGCCGAAACGAAACATTACAAAGTTTCAAAAAACAGTACCCCGAAAAATTCCAAGTAGAAAAGAGCGATGGCCAATTAACATAGAAGATATGCAATATGAAAACGCGCCTGAAAGCAAACGCCGATAAAAATCGTACCAACTATACATTGTACTTTTCGATTCGGCAAAGATTCTAATAGTCTACATCACGAGAATTTCGCCTAATCTTGCATTTTTTTTTAGTCCGCTGTATATGTATATCAACACACGGTAAAAAATCGGCCAATT